CACAAGGGTCAGTCCACCACCTCAAGAGTTCTTCTCAGAAAACTCTTTCCTAAGAGCTTGATCCCCTTATGCTCTCCTTTTAAAATTTTATAGCAGTTTTCACATGCTGAGATTATGATATATATTTTTATAGACTATCTTCCCCCAGTAGAATGTAACCACCATGAGGGCAGAGACCATGTCAGTTGACTCGTGCTGAGTAATAAACCTCTTCAACACTGAGTGGCTAAGAACAGTAGGCATTTATGTAGTTTGTAATTCTACAATTTGGGTATTTGGGGTGGGCTCAGCTGGGAGGTCCTCTGGTCTGGGGCAAGCTCAGCTGATATTGACTGGAGCTTACTCAAACATCTGCATTCATTAACAGGGTGAGCAGAATCCTGACTGACTCTTGGTTGAGCTGTCTTGTTTTTCTTCCATGTGACCTCTTACCCTCTAGCTGAGTAGCTTGGACTTGCTCATGTGGTGGTCAGGGTCCCAATGCACAACTGATATTCATGCCTCTGAGTGAATCATATTTGTGATAGTTCCACTGGCCCACTCAGACCCAAGAGGTAGAAAAACAGATTCTGTGGGAATGACTTGTAATATCGATTTGCAAGGTCCTAGATGCAGGGAGAGGAATTTGCAGATATTTTTACAAAGTATCCCAGGGACTCTATCTGTTTTACATACTTTTGTATCTCTAGTATCTAAAACAGTGGCTGGCTCAGTGCAGGCTCTCAATAGATACTATTTGAATGAATAAATAGAGGGAACTCCAGAGGGCCAAGAAACAGAAAACACAAAATCTGCCAGAATACCATTATAACCAGACGCTACTGCTGTGACTGTCACCAGTGTTTACCCATCAACACCCTTGGCCCCCAAACTCCCATGGAAGATGTGCACCAAGCTTTCCCTTTGCATTGTGGGCTCAGGGCTGAAATCAGCTGGAGCTTCTGATTGGTCCATCTTAGCTCACATGATGGCCCTGGCTCTTAGGAGCTGGGGGGAGGGAAGACCAGGCTACAAATACACGTACACATTGTAGAAATTCACACAAAAGAAGATGGATTTTGGAGTGACCAATCCCCCCCAAGTCCCCACAGATGTCCACTAAAAATATGCTATTTAGGGCCGGCCGAGTGACGCAACGGTTAAGAGCTGGCTTGGGACACCAGAGGGCCCCGGTTTGGATCCCACATATAAGGGCTAGTGACACTGCCCTCTACAGCTAAGATGCTGAACAACAGCTCAACCTGGAGCTGGGCTGCTGTGAGTCGCCGGCGCAGGCGTAGTCTGCAGCCCCTGCTGCAGTGGGTTGCCATGGGCTACCGTGTGTAGCCAGTAGCCAGCGTGAGGGCCGTGAGCAGCTGTCCAAAAGCCGGCGACTGATCTGCCTCGCCCAGGAAGAGCGCAATGATGGTGCCAACTTGGGCCTGTGAAGCTACGTCCTCCACAACTAGACTGAAGAACAAAAAAACAACAGCAACTATTCTGTTCCCCTTCCCCCAATTCCCCAATAAAAAAATATATATATATTTAAAAATAAAATATATATATATATACTATTTAGAAACTGTCCCAAGGCCTATTTTTTGTTAATTGATAATGATGGCTGATATCCATATACATACACACATACACACACACGCGTGCGTGCACGCACACCCCCCCACACACACACACACACTAATTTGCAGATGAGAGAAACTTTAAATTCAGCCGAATAACTATTCTTTCCAGAAACAGCTGTTTAGTGAATGAATTAGTTGTTTTATTTTGTTAAAAAATAATTTGGATTGCATAGAGAGGCTGCAAAGTTCTCTGTACAAAATGCTTGCTACCCATTTATCTCACAAAGGAATCATTAGAATGAGTGGGGGAAAGTGCCATAACTATCACTTAAAGTCGTCATATAGAATAACACACAAAGACCCTGTACCACTGTCATGTGAATAAATATCTGCATTAAAAAGTAGAACTAGAACTGGTTACTGTCATGCAGAGCAGTAGACAATTTCAAATGTATTACATAAAGACTCAGAAGCTGTAACAGGATCTTAGCCTTTAAATCAAAGCTTCTTAAGAAGAAAAGGGAAGCTATAGAAAACACCTAACCCACACAGAACTGACATAATTTTTCATTATTTCCTCCAGGGTTTAATAGACAGTTACATAAGCACCATCACCACCCTGACACACACACTCACACACTCACACACTCTGAACAGTGCCCCAACTTAGATCCAGCACCACTTTTTGTTCTTCTAACTATCTGCGCCTAGAAAGGGAACCATGCTGGTGAGCCTCAGCCTAAGTGGGATGTCCTTCAGGGTGGAGCTCTCACCTTCAGGGCCTATGGTTTCAAAGAATCCGAGAACGCTTGTAGCAGGCCGGGCTACACCCAAGCGCCAGCCCACATCCCCTTGCCCTTTCTGTGCCAGAATCTTCTGGCCGCATTTCCAACTGCCGGCCTCATTTCTCTGCCTGTGACGTTTTCTCTAACCATGGCAGCCTGCTCTCCTGCCTATTTGGAAGACCAGAAAACGCAGAGAATTACCACTCTCCAAGTCAGCTGCCCTCAACCAATGACCAAGGGAGTAGTGTACAAACAAAAAGTAGTGTATATCTCCTTGCCCCTCTAACAGGACAATTCTGAGGCGTACGCACTTCCCTCAGAGCAAATATCCACCAGGTTTCCGCAGTGGGGAGGAGGCCCCAGTAGCCCACACAGGTAGCTGCTTGCTAAAGCCAGCTTTCCTGGCTGCGCCGCTTTCCTGCTTTATTCCCCCCAAACCATTGTCAGAGCCCCCTTCACCTCTTTCCTTGCTGACTCTGAGTTGGCTTATGGAGGAACCCAAACCAATACAAAGCACCAGCCTTCCAACCATCCCCCTTCCCCGCAACACACAGTCCCCCCCGAATACCTTGGGCTGGTCCTTGGAGTATGTGGTCCAGGTGAAAAGCTGCCTGACAAGCATTGTGAGGTACTTATATCTTAGTGAGCAGAAAGGACTTGTAAACAAGTTGGATAGATGGGAGTGAAGGAGAGGTGCTAAGAGTCTGGATTGTGGAGGAAGACACACCCAGGAAGGAGGAGGAAGGGCCTCATCCTCCATGTTCTCTGTTGGTCGGGAAAAGCTGTGCTAGAGGACACAGCTCTAACCCAATCAGAACACAGCAGATGGAGCCAATCACCTTGATTTTACTAGGAAGCTCTATGCTCTCACTAAACCTTGATTTCCTCATCTTTAAAGTGGGGATAATAATAATAGCAATAATAATAATACCCACCTCTGAAAATCGTCAGTAGGAAAAACATATTCCACGTAAAGTGCTAAGCACAGTGCCTGGCACATAATAAATGTAACCATCATTTTATTACTAATTAATACTTTCTCATGATTATCTTTACAATGTCAACTAATATGATTAAACCTTGAATTTTTTACTCGTCCTCCTGACCTGCCAAGGATTCAAGACCAAAGCAAATGGTAACTTTGAAAAATCAGAGCTGCTGCTCTGTTTGTCTTCTCCCTACCTCTCTCTCACCAGCAAGCACATGCACACACCAGGCTATGGACTGCTGTTGTTCCTGTCCGTGTCCTGTCTGGTCCGTGAGAGGACAATCCAGGATGAGGGCGTGGAGGGAAGGGAATCTCACATGTGTCGAACCATGCAAAGCAACTGCAACAAAAACAAAAAGGAAAAAGGACCACTAATACTCATGGATGCAAGGTTAAACTCTCGTGCAAAAACCTCATTATCCCACATCCTTTCCTGCCCAGCCCCTCTTCACCGTATCAGCCATTCTGCAGCTCAGGCAGCCTTCCAGAGCCATTTTTCAGGCACTTTGCAGCAGATGTGATAATTACAAAATGCACCATCAGAGGACTGTGGTATTTATCTGTTTTCCTTAATTTCAATTTTTACTACCTTTCCTTTAAAGACAGCAAGACACAGATTGAGCCATAAACTGTCAGATTCCCTATCTTATGAGGCTACCAATTTCCTGAAATGTGAGATAACTTAAATTTCCAATCAAAAGGACAGATAGGAAAATACACTGCAACTCCAGTAGGAGTTGTAAAGCTCTCAAGCCCTGTTTTCCCCTTTTTCATCTTTATCAGCTCAGAGTATTGATATGGACATAGAGAAAATAACTGCACATTCACAAGTAGATGCAGTTTATCAGAAGCAGGCCCCGGATGGCTGGAAGTAATTCTGGACCCTCCACAAAAGGCTCCCTTCTCTTCCAACCCCAGTGGGTTTGTACAGACAATGTGCTGGATGTGATGTCAAGAATCAGGAAGACCATGCAAATGGCAAGTTAAGAATCAGTAGGCAGGATGGCTGGGATCCTGCCTGCAATGTAGTTTTGGAAGCTAGCCATGTCAACACTAATACGTGTGCAAAGCCCAAGCCACACAATTAGGACAAGCCCTCTGTGACAACATAACAGGTGTCGCTGGCTTTTTATTGTTGCCAGTCTTGTTTTCTTGTTTTGGGCTGGTGATTTGTTTTTCCTTTGGATGGACAAGGTGGAGAAGAAGACAGACACACACTTTTAAACATGATTTCCCAGATGGAACCCTTCTCCTGGCAATTTTCACACCTTGAAGCTTGCCTGGTTCTGGCAGATAAGGATTTGAACGCTAGAAGTTGAGTTTGGGAAGTGATCCCAGGAAATAGCAGTAGGGGAGTGAAGTGGGTAAAGGAAGGAACCAAGCCAGGATATAGTATGTTAATGCTCAGCTTTCACTGTGAGAAACTGGGACCCGATCCTGATGGGGCCCCTGGTGACTGCACACAGCAAATTTCAGCGTTGTCCCCACTCCAGGGACAAGGAACCTGGGTATGTACCCACAATTCCTGAGTGGGAGCTGCTTCCAGTCATTAACTCCGAGGATAAAGCCAGGCTCTGGAAACTCACAGGAGTGCCTGCGGAGGTGAGGCAGGGAGGGCACTGGCCACATCTGCTACAAACCCTCTCTTTGTTCTACATCCTGTTCCAGGCACAGGAGCAGCTCGTGGCATGAAGCCAAAGCAAGCACCAGGAAAACCCAATTCCAGGAAGAGCCAGCGGCCCTAAAGAAGGAAATGGTACTATGAACATGTGCTGATGTTTTGCTAGGCATGCTATTGTGAGCTCTGAAAAGGGTCCGCTGAGAGGATTCGCAATGCCTATCAAGCCGTCCAGAAAGGAGCTTCCAGCTCCGCGGGGTGATGGCGTTCATTGGGTAACAGGCATGGAAAAGCGAAGGCCTCCTGGGGCCTCGGGCTAATTGAATGCAATCCTGTTTCTCCTTCCTTCACTGCTGAAACACATAAGCCCAAATCTCCTAAAAGCCCTAAATTTGCAGCCATATTCATCTCTTTAATTGCTGTGTCTGGTTCACTTTATTTGCAAGCATGGGAGCTTTTTACTGCACTTTCACATCTCTGTGCAAGGTGTCAAAGAATCATAAAGACCCAGGGGGGAGACGGGAGGAAAAACCGGTCACTCGGGCCAATGACCATGCTACCGGCCCTTCCTTTATGTCACTTAAAAGGTATTTTAACTGCTCAAGACTGAAGGGAGCACAAGTTGGCAAAGCGCTGAGGCCTGAGAGACACTCGGACTAGATCTGGGTTGAAGGCAGGCAGCCAAGTAGCTTGTGGAGGGAGCACTGGGTATGTCACCAGGTCCTCCCTTCAGACCAAGGGCTTCTAGTCCAGTTGCTGGGAGTGTTGCTGGCAGATGGCTCATAGTCTGGTCCGTCTTCGGGAATTATTCTTAGCTGAAGGGAGTTGCCATGCCCAAGGGTCCCTCCCCTCCCTGGGAGTAGCCAACCCCCAATTCATTAACAGGTGTGTGTGGTGTCCAAGCCCCTTCCTCCTTGCCTCATTTGGGACATCTCTGAAAAACCATTCCCAGCTCCAGAGCTCCCTGTGGCTGAGGCCTTGGTTGCAACTGCAGCCGAGTTCAGCTCATCCTCTGCCCTGCTCCCCTCACTCTCGCCAATGCTGGGAGCATCCCCAGTGAACTTCCTACATATAAAGTGCCTCCTCGGAGTCTGTTTCTTGGGGAACCCAACCTAAGGCAGCTGAATGCCACGGATGGTGTATGAAATGGCAGATGTGCTAAAGCCCCGTCCAGGTGTTTCTGGAAAGTACCATCTTGAGGAAAACACGCTAAGGGCAGAAAGACACATTAAGGATGGGCAAGCAGGCATTGGATGCCTGGCGTTTCCATGTACATTATCCCACAGTGTTCTCACAGCCTTCTGAAAAATTAGCACATTCAGGAGGATTGAAAATGTTGGCACATAAAATGTTTTAATTTCTGCACTACAAAATAACTAGTACCATGGGGGAAAAAAAGGTAACAAAACAAGTAAGAAATTGGGGTAAGTATTTGCAACACATATGACAGACAGAAGTATAATTTTCTTAATATATAAAGAACTCTTGAAAATTCATAAGAAAAAGACCAGCAACCAAATAATAAAAGGGGCAAAGAGGGTGAGCTGAGTTTGCAAAAACAACAAAATTACAAAACGGCCTTTTCATCTATAAAAAAGATACTCAACCTTAGTCATAAGACAATAAATGCAAATTATTACTAACCTGAGATGTCATTTTCACCTAACAGATGAATCACAATCAAAAAGTTGAATAGCATGCTGTGTTGGCAGGTGTGTGAAGTAATAGGTATTCTCATAAAATGCTGGCAGGTGTATAAATTGGTACAACCCTTTGGAAGGCTAATTGGCAGTTTTAAATGTGCATACCCATTGGCTCCTCAAGAATTTGGCTCTTTAAGGATTTATAAATCCAAAAAGTGAGCAAAGGTATTCATACAGTGTTAATTCATTTTAACATTGCTTATAGTAGCAAAAGACCATACATCATCAAAATGTTCATCATTACATGCGAGAGTAAATAAATGTATAGTCAACCCATCAATAAAATACCCTTCTGCCTGGCTCTGCCCTGCTCACCCTGCAAATGATCAGTTCCAGGGGCCAACCAACCTCAAGGTCAAGGGCTCCCAAGAGGCCCAGCTGGGCCCAGCATCTCCCCAAGCACCCATCTTCTTTCCTGGGTTTGGTCAACTTTTCCATTGCTCTGGGCAGCAGTACTGGATTGAAGAACCTTTGCAACTCACTGTGCTCGCTCCTTATGATAAATAGTGGATGTAAAAACACATCTTGATCACCATTTATATTTTAACAGATTACGGTGTTGGTTGTTTTGACTTATATTAGTCTCTCACTTGGAGAAAAAAATTATTTCTAGTGTAAGTATAAATTATAGGATTTAATTGTTGGATGTTCAAACCAATCTAAAGGAATTTTTTTCCCAGTACTGTCCCGTCCAGGGGCTTATTAAATAGCTTTCAGTCACAGAATGATTTAAAAGCAAATCTTTCCTATGTTCATCCTACTGCTATGATCTTGAGCATCTTTATTCAGAAGAGTTCCAGGGGGGTTATGTAAACTATGTTAACCATAGATGTTTGTGTTAAGGAAGTAAGACTCTTTGGAGCAAAACCCTCTTAAAATATTTTTCAAGATATAAATTTCTAACAAATTAACAGAGAAACAAACCAGAACTTGCAAATCCAAAAAGCTCAGAAATGTCCACCCGCCTCTTCTTGGCAGGAATAAAAATTTGTACAAAGCCCCTGGATGTTCTTCAGACAAAATTATAAGGTGGAAGAAGAGGTAAGCACCAGGTCCAGTGACCATTATCAGTTGCCCATCCATGAGTTCCTGCTGTCCTTCCCACAAAGGGGCCTAGAGACCTATTTCATAGCAAGTGTCATTGACACAGGCACCTTTTTCCTAAGTCTGTGTGACACAGACAGCACAGTACTCTAGAAAAATTTCCAAGGCCCATAAACTCAGAATCACACAACCAGGTCTCAGGTCCCTGTAAACCTGAATTAGCACACACTGCTTGCTGACTCAGCTGCACAGTTGAATCCCTTGGACGTTGCAACAAAGGATTGAAGAAGAGATGAATTGTGCTGGACCGTGTCAGTTCATTTCAGGTGTCAAAATGACATAAGAAGGCCCAGGAACATTTCTTTATTTGTGCAGCTCTTGAGATGAGATGGGGGAGAGAACCTCATGTTTTAGAGAACTGAAAACCATCCCTCACGTTACACAAATGAACTAATGCATCATCAATCATTGGTATTTGAAAGGACTTTGGATCATGTGATGCATGATCACTGAAACATGCATATTGTTTTTAATTGCTCTAACTAACTGCATGAGAGAACACTTGCTTGGAGTTCAGATAGCAACTCCTCCATCAGGTCTGTTGGCAGCTTAGGAGTAAGTGCATGTTCTTGGCAAGGACACTTGCTTAGCTGTGTGTTGATTAATAACTTGCTCTGCCCAGTCTCATTCTCTCATCCCTTCTTCCCTGCAGCCTCTCCCCCTTCTCCCAGCATACTTTCCCATAAAGTCCTTTCTCCCTTCAATCCCAGGCCAGGAATCTGATGCAAGGCCTGGAAGCTCCAGGGGGAGTCTGTGCTGGGGCTGAAGCCACAGAAATAAAGTGAGTGCTGAGGGACTGGCAGGGAGCCTGCTTCTGCCTCCTTAGGCTGATGGATCGTGGGAAGTTGTGCCAGAGACTGGTGGGGACAGCCCGTTTTATTAGGAGTCAAGGCTGCGATGACATGGAGCCCTTCCAAGGCGTCTTTCACATGTCCTTGCTACTCCTCTAATAAACCGAGATTAACCCTCAGTAAAGCACACCGCGCTGGAAAGAGCCTGTAAATTTTATCTTGTGCAGTGGCCTTCAAATGCTGGCCTTGCTTTTGGCAACCATAAAACTAAACAAATGAGCAGCCACTTGCTTGCCGCCCCTCCACACAGTGTGAAGCAGGTTTATAGGATGGGTGTCCTGGCGTGGGACGCCATGAGGGTGTACGTGAACGTGGCCCCGGTGCTTTAAATCCAGCATTTCTTTTCTAGGACTGAGTAACCCCCCCTCCTCAGCACACCTCCTCTCTCCTTGCCAGGGCCAGGTTCAGGGCGTGCAACCTGAGCAGCTGCACAGGGTCCTGGGCTCAGCAGGACTCCACACTTGGTTTCAAGCTTTGCCGCTGCCGTCATGAAATCCTGAAGACATCTTGAACAAGAAGCCCTGCATTTTCATTTTGCACTGGGCCCTGAAAATGATGTAGCCAGTCCTGCTCCTGGTTTTATGGATCCTGACCCAGAGGAAGATATGCCGGGAAGGACAACCTCTGCTGAAACACCTCCTGGGTTTCTTTTTTTGCTTTTTTGGTTTTTTTTTGACATGAGGCTGCAGGGTTTCCAGTTTGGGGGCTCATGGCCAGGTTCTCACAACTTCACGGTGATATGCTTCTTTATTGCCAAGACCCCCTTGCCAATATTTTTAAACTCTGTAGACCTTAATACTTACTGAATGATTAGTAAATTCCAGGCCCTGTTCTGAGTACTTTTTGTGTATTTTATCGTGTAATCCTCACTCTAGCATGGTGAGGCAATCACCATCATTACCCCATTTTAAAGATGAGGAAATGGACTCTCAGAGAGTTCAAGTAATTTGCTTCAAATCAAACTCAGATGCAGTTAACTCCAAAACATGTAGTTTTAACCACTAGACCATACAGCTTGATTATAAAAGGAAAATATGTTCTTCATTTCATTGGCAGTAAGATTGATGATTGATGTGTTGACTGATTGTGAGTTTGGAGATGAAGACTGGTTGGAAGCAGAAAAGTAAGAAAAAACCTTTCTTTTTTTTCTTTTTCTTTTTTTCCCCCACTGAGTATATGGGAGAATATAAACTGCTGCTGCCAGCGTGCCATAAAGAAACAAGAATTTGCTGTAACTTTTTCCTGTTCACTTTGGTCTGGGCATCACTTCTAAGGCTGTTAGCATGGGGAGCTGGGAGCACTTTGGCTGTAGGACCATAGGATTCAATATCCCACAATGGATTCCAAGCCTTACAGCTCTGTATCTTCTCAAATGCATCCAGCAGACCAAGGATATGCTCAGAATCCAGTATCAGAGAATTGTCTGTGGTAATAACCATCGTCATCTAAGAATCAAAGTCAGTGTTTATTCATTGTTATGAGCCAGCCAGTTTAGGTATGTAAACTTATTTCGTCCTTACAACAACCGTATAAGGTATTTCATTGTACTTTTACAGATGAAGAAACTGAGGCCCAGCGAGATGAAATAATTTGGTAAGGTCACTTAGCTAGTAACTCTCAGAGCCAGGTTTTGAATCAAGGCAGTCTAGGGCAAAAAAAACGTGCTCTTAAACCCTACACTACATGAAAGCTGAGTGTCCTTTGTCAAAGGCACCG